ACAAATCAAGCTAAGGAGCGATGCATTGGCATCTCGTTTGCCGTCTTTGGCTGCTCTTCTCTTTGGCCACTGAGTCGCTCAAGATCTGAAGCAGCCAACTAACAACTTCTTGACATCTCGTTTGCAACGTTGCAACCCTAAAACAATGCATCAATGCCTCCATGCCTTTCCAGTTCCCAGCATAAAATCCTCTACCAGTACTAGCAAGCTACTCTCTAGCTAGAGGCTAGTGCTGTTTCTCCCCCCCACACCAGTTATCCCAAAACAACATCCAAATTAAGAAGTTCAGTCACAGACTGGTACTCATTTTTGGTCAAGCTTAGTACTGTAAAGCGTACAGTCGTACAGTGAGAAATCATCTCGGTCGAGACGACTCACAAAACCCCATTCCTTCGTCGAGAATGGTACACACGTACAAACGAAACATGGAGGATCGACTCCGCTTCAGCAGGCACCAGGTCCACAAAACGTGCAACACCAAACTTGCCAAGCGTATTTTAAAATAATAAAAACCAACAATCTTCCGATTCATGTTTTGCATTAACCATTGATGGAACCCATCAGCCTTCCCTTGCCACTGGAAACCATGGTTCCTGCCCATGCAACCCTAGTCCCTGTGATGTCAATGCTCAATGTTGGGTGCTCAGTGTCAATGCAATGCAGGCTTTGAGGGTGATGGCCGTCAATGCCGCTCTGCTCCCAAGTCTGGCACTATTCGAGGAGACCCTCACTTCCAAACTTGGAATGGGAAGTGGTATGGTAAGTTTTGATTCCTGCTTCTTCAGTATCGGGTGTGCCATGGGTTACTGCATGATTGGTTATCTTACATTCCCATCACCACTATCCCTATCGTAGACTACATGGGAGCCTGTGATCTCATTCTTCTGGATGCCCCCAAGCTTGAGGATGGATTCCCTCTGTTGGTGGTCATTCGCACCACAACTAGATACGATTACAGCTATGTGGAAAGTGCAGCCATCAAGATTGGAGATGACATCTTGGAGGTTGCCAGTTTTGGAGAACACTTTTTTTTAAAATGGAGTGGCTGGAGTTGACATGGTCCATGAGGACATGTTCTTGGGTCCTTTTCCAGTTCACTACAAGCAAGTTGATATCCGGACCCATACCTTTGACATTTCCTTGGGTGGTGGGGAAACTATTACACTCAAGAGCTACAAGGATCTTGTCTCTGTCAAGCTGGACAAGAGGTTCTTGGGGAGCCAAGGAATGCTAGGAGATTATGCGACTGGAGAGACCATGTCTCGGGATGGGACCATGGTTGTTACCGACCCTGATGTTCTTGCTGCCGAGTGGCAAGTCCGTCCGGAGGATGATGCGATGGTGTTTCAGACTGCCCGAGCCCCTCAGTATCATCAGTCCTGTCAACTCGCACGGCAATCCAAGACCACCAAAAGCAGACGTCTTGGTGAATCAACTGTTCCTGAGGATGACGCAAGAGACGCCTGTGCTGGTGCCAACAACATGGATGGCTGTGTGCATGATGTGATGGCTACAGGAGATTTGGAACTTGCCTCTGTGGTATGGTAGTGGTTGGTCCACAAGTGAAGCTTGGGCCACTTTAATGGTTGCAAGAAGTCAATGATGTCAAGAGCAGGGTGAACCAAGCAAACTGCAAGGAAATGAATCGATTCTTGCTAGCTATACAGAATGTGTATAAAACTAATGGCTGCCTAGAAGATAAATAATCAGATTTCATTCTGGGCAGCATGCCTACTATAGGAAAGGGCAGAATGTTCTGGGCCCAAATATCCTTTCGAAGCAACAGCAGCAAGACGATGGGAGCATCCTGTCCATCACGTTTTGTTCAGCGCAAGCAAGTGACGGGCGGTGGCGGATGGTTGTCTTGTCGTTGGGCTGCCTTCCATCCCTTACAGGGCGTATTTCTTTGGTGCCGGCGTAGTCATCTTCCGCAGTTGTTGTGATGCTGGCATGCTACTCTTACTGTATGGCCGAAACGCATGAGTTCAAACTCCATGTAGTTTGTGGTGTCACCATGCTAGCATGCAGCAAGGCTCTTGCTAGCTACAGTAGCTAGCTAGACCTAAGGTTCGCTTCGTTTGGGTATGAACAAGCTAACCATGCAGCTGTAGGTACTAGCTAGCTAGTATAATCTTTCGGTACCCGTAATGCTAGCTAATAGTCTTTCGGTACCGGTAACGCACGATGGTGTCCTTGTGCCACACAGGATGATGCAAACAGAAATCATTCGTACCATTATGAAAACTCGTACCAGCTAGCTACTACCGGTAGCCAGCTCGGTTGTCGATGCGAGTCTTTGAGCTGTCTACAATGTAATAAGTAGTGCCAATACACTGAAAAGAAAGTGTCAAGGTAGACTAGCTAGCTGTACCGGTACAGGACTTTAGTGCGGCAGAAGGGCAGAGCTGCCACTGTGGATAGAAGCAACAGCTTCCACTGGGTCATCGGAAATCGGAACACAACCAAAAGGATTCTTGTGGTACTAGTACCTAGTACACCGGTGTACTTTGTACCGTAAGCTGTACTCCAGTAGCAGGCTCATTGTGACTATAATTGATAATTGAAACCACCATCAAGCCACCAAGAGCATTCCACGGCAATCTTTACCTTTCTCGGTATTAAAAGGTTTAATGGGCTGACTTTCAATCCGGCGACTTGAAAGACTCGGAGAATAGTTCTCTCCGTCAAATAAATGACTGGGCAGTTCCCCAACAATAACCCACAAAAGCCATAATTGAGAGTCTTTTTGTGACGTGGCCGGCGAAAGCTGGTCACAAGATGTTCCGCAAGATACTAGTACCCCACTCAGCTCCCCGCTCCCCGTTCTTTCCAATACAGTCAACGCTCGCTTATATTTATAATCTTGTATTTATTCGCTCTATAATATTTAAGAATACTCCAGTTCCCACATTTTTAACTCTAACCCTATTTTAGTACTAGAGCACGTACAATTCTACGGGAATAGTTAGGGTTAGGGATAAAATCAATATTTATTCTCGCTGTTATATTTACTGAATTCCTGAATCCCCCCCAGTATATATATCTGAATGTTGACTGTAACAGAATCAGATGATGATAGCTATGATGATACAGTGGTTACTGAGAACTGAGAAACCGAGCCCCTCGGGTGCCCCTTTTACAATCGTTTAGTCGTGGCAACATGCTAGAACGGCAATAGCATAGCTGATTTAAGTATAGCGTTAAGATTATGTTAGCACATACAGTGCGCCATTAGCAGTGCGCCTAGCCTGCTTCAAGAACGTCTTCTACCCTCTTAATAGCTATGTTGGTAGCTGACAAGCTCTATTGACGTCTTCATTGCTGTTGTTTTAGCATTGGCAGTTGGACGGCTACATCATTGCCGCTTCGCGCACTGATGATTCGGTACCGATCGCACGTGACTGATCATTTTTCTTCATTTCGCTGCAAGATTTACCTGAAAACTCGACAATGGCGCCTTCTACTGGTGGAAATGGTAGTGCAACGCCCCCTAACAATGGCAATAGACGTATCAATACCCATGCAACTCCACTGAGAAGTGTGGTGACTCGCAGATCTCCTCATTCCAGCTCGGTTTCAGAAATGACGACGCCTTCACGTCAAACAGAATCTTCCACCGAGACTGAAGTTTCAACAGCAGATCCAGTTCAGTTTGAAGCAGACTATGATAATGCTCGCCGTGCAGAGAATGCAGGAGCCCCTGATTCAGAGGATGAAGGGGAAGGGCCTGGCAATAATTCTATCATGAGAGAAGTGTCTACAGAAAGGAATGAGCACTCGGCTGAAAACTTGGCAGCAATTCCAGATGAAACCGATTATGTTCCAAGTGAGGATGTCTCTCACGAAAACCGCAATGTAATAGAAGGTGTCCCCCCTGGATGGAAAGCACCAGGTCCTCCAATCGGATGGAAGATGGCAAAGGTTAGGAAAGAAAAGGGCGAACCAGATTTTGAGGAAGTGGACAATCCAGGTGGCTGGTCATCTTATGTTTACACTGCCAAGTTTCGGAAACCAAGGAACAACCAAGATAAGAAGACGTATGCTTATCATTCGCTTCCCACCGGAGCGACGCCCGTGCCATTGCAAGAAGCTACAGGTAAAAGAGAAACTCACGGATATGAATTTCACTACAATGGTTGGAATGGCATGGAAAATCCTCAATTTGCCAAGTGTCGACATGGTGCTACAAGAGAGAACATGTTCCCCAAAGAAAGACGAGGTCATCTAGATGTGGACAAGCTCAAAAGTTTGGGCCTCACCAAGGAACGAATGATGGAGGAAGATGGCAGCCCGGATGCTTTATTCTTTCATCAACTCCTCCTTCCCATCGGTGATCCATCAAGATCAGGTGTAGATGGTGATCCTCGCACCGGATTCTATCACAATGTTTCAATGTGGTCCAATCTTTATGGAATAGGAGAGCTTGGACTTGGTGCTGACTACCGCCATGAGTACAAGTTGACAAATGCTGCAGAGCTCATTCGATGGGATGGGATTGTGGTGATGGATGGTGTCCATGGTGGAAGCTCTGGTGCTTTGATGCGTCGGTTTGACAAAAGGGAAGGTAACACCGCATATTGTCCTTTCATCAGTTCAGCCTTGACCAAAACCAGATGGTTGGAGTTGAAGCGGGTTTACAAGCTTTGTGACAACAAGACAGTTCCAAAGAAAGGTCAAGATGGATACGACCCTGCTTATAAGTTTGACTTCATCTACAAAGTCTTGATTCAGAATGTAAACGCACTGACAAAAGAAGCAGGTCTTGACCTAGCCGCCGATGAAACTACTTGGGGTTTTGGTGGATGGGGAGAGAAGGAAAGTGGCATTATCTCTTTAATCATGAACGAGCCACACATCACCAAAGGTGGACAGATTGTCTTGGCTGTTGATGTTGACCGAATCCGTCCAAGAGCTTATGTACATCGCCACAATCTTCACAAGAAACCAGAAGGCTGGCACTGTACAAGTGGACAACTTGAAGCAAGAATGATTTTAGACCAGCTTTATCCAATGACGCTTGGCTATGAGGTTCACCCCACGAAAATTTTTGTTGATTTGCCGCATCTCACCTGGGACAACCACTTTTCAGGAGATAACATCCTCACTTATGCTGGCACAAGAGGATTCGGAATGACAATGACATGCCGTCGGGACCGATTGCCAGGGCCTGTTCCAAACATGTACTTCCACAAAGAGAAGACAACTGTCAATGCCAAGTCGAAAGCTGCAAGGTTTGAGCAGCCAATCGTAATTACCAAACCAGTTGGCGGTGAAGGAGGGGACATTGTCTTTTGTTCTTTCCAGTCTACGTCTTCATGCAATATTGCCACTGTCAATGCTCTTAACCAATGCGGTCTCTATGCACACACCAAAGAACGTGGCAGAGGCTCTTACAAGAGACAATGGGCTATTGAGATGAATGAGGCTCGAGAGCTTTATTTAAAGACATACGGTGGTGTGGATCGACTGGACCACATGGTACAAAACTGCAATTTGTGCTACAGGTGAGCCTCTAATTGGATGATTCGAGTTACTAATTGCCGGTCTATGATCTATTATCTCCGTCTCCATCGCTCACTCCTTCACTATCATTCTGTTTCATAGATCTTGGAAATACTGGCATGCCGCAATGCTCCATGCTAAGGGCATTGCCATTGTTGTTGCGTATGATATGTATTTGGAGTGCACTGAAGGAACAATCAATGAAGCGTGGAAGGTCAACAAACCAGTGGACTTCTGGCGATTTCGAGAAAAGCTGGCGAAGCAGATGTGCGAATACAATCCAACGAAGCGAAGATATGCCGGAGATCAACACTTCCGAGTTGCCACACGGCAACACAAGAGGGTCAGAACTCCTCAGTCAGCGCACTCCTCTTCTGCCAAGAAGCGCAAACCAAATACTCCCAACAGCTCCACCACCTCAACTCTCACACCACAAGATCTTTTGGATAACGGTGGCAGATTGTGCGGCCGATTGGATGGCCTTTGCTCTCACATGGAGACAGTCAAGAGGCTTCCAAACAACAGGACCAAGATTTGTGTGGTCTGTGGCGACAACTGTTCTCATGAGTGCGGCAAGTGTAAAAAAGCCATGCACTATGGGGAACCACAGAGGAAGAAGAATAAGGAACCAGTGGTAGATGACAAGATCACTTGCTTTGTTCGATACCATGACACCTCCTTCTTTGGCTTGGCAAGAGAGGATTGGGAAATTCGAGGAATCAAGAGGCAGGATTGGTCCTTTCCAAACATGGCGACAAGGTCCCAGCATGCCATGGGTATTGTGGATCTTCACAATGACGCCTTGAGAATCAACCAAAACATTAACAACAATCCACCTCTGCCGAATCCTCCAACAACAACCCCTGTGGCTACCCTCAACAACAGAGCTTCCACTGTTGCAAACAATCCAAGCAACAACAAGGATAATACCACTGACAAGGATAATACCACTGATGATGACAGCAGCGATGCTGAGAATGATGAGTTTGCTGATCGTCCAAGGCCTGGCTATCGAGCCATGTAGAGTTTTTTTCGTGGTTGTGGTTGGGTGTTGAATGAATGAATTACTGACAACATCATCATTGTGATGTTGTCAGAGCCAATCAAGAGATCGGATACTAATGCCTAGGCTGCTGCTGCAACCCATGCCTCCAATTCTGTCCTCTTGGCTTCTTGTCTCTCTCAAGACGATTGTGGGAACCTTTTCTTGTTGTTGCTGTTGCTGGCTGAGTGGCTGTCGATGGCTGAGTGGTTGACGACGATGACAACGAGTGGTTGACGACGACGACAACGGCCGGCCGGCCGTCGACGAGATGAGTGGTTGTGGACTGTCGGCCGTCGAGATGGGTGGTTGTTAGCTGCCGACAATGGCACTGTGGAGTGGTTGACGACGACGACGGCAGCACAACAACAGATGAGTCAGTTTGTGTGGTGGCGTCAACAGCAGCAAGACGAGTTGAGTCAGTTTGTGTAGAAATTGTACTGTGTGTGGCTGTAGACTCTGTAGCTGATTACCAACCACGTATTAACCAGCAATGTTGTTGCTGTAAGAGAATCAATGATTACATCTACAGTGAGAAATGTACTGGTTTGCAGCTGTGGACGGAATAGTGGACACACTTTTCACCGGCAATGGCATTGCTGGTACTCGGCGCCAGGACTAAACGATAATTGCTCACAGTGCTCTGATACCTTGTTGCTGGGAACGGCTTTTTGCCTCTCAAGAAGTCAACAAGTCAAGAACAAGTTCATTATTCTTGACTCTAGCTAGCACATAGACCATACCGGTAGACCAACGCCTCGACACGATCAATACAGTGCATCCATCAAACCTAGTGGAACGGTAGCTTTCTAAAGTTGCTTTGACCTTGACAGCTTGCTTTCAAGAGTTTCCATTCCAGCGGCAGTTAATTTATTTTTGCATCCAAGCAAAGCCTCCAACGAAATGAAGAAGACAAAGACCTGCCTCCATCGTCATCCTTATCATCCCTCTACATCAGGTTCTATTAATAGAAAGTCATCAGTCTCCACAGGCAAGAGCACAGGCACAACAAGCATGAGAATACCAATGTCTTCGATGGCTGCCTGTTGGGTCTTTCTGCTCTTGAGCTTGTTCTCCTTATCTACCTGTGGGGTAGCAGCCATGGGCCTTCGAGGCTTACAAATGGAGGAGACAGAGTCATCAGCTACCCAGACAGAATCTGATGATGACTTTGAAATCTCGTATGTGATGGAACCCTTTGAAAGGCTCAACCCCAACCAGTGGCTCATCTCTGCTACTAGTAGCCCCACCACTACGAGTCCTACTACGAGCAGTCATAGCTTCAATGTGACTCTGCAAGACGGCGCCATGTTTGGCAACTCGTCGCTTCGCCTGGACTTTTCTTCTTCTACTGCAAGAAGAATCCAAGTGGGAGTCTTGCAGCCAGAGACGCCTCACACGTGTCGAGAAGCGACCTATATGTCCCTCTGGTACAAGCAACTGACCCCCATGGCCAACAACACCCAAGTCAGGCTCATTCTAGTGGATGACAATGGGGATCCCACCCAGTTCAACCGCAGTACCTACCCGAACCACAATGCGACTCGGTCATGGGAATCTTACTATGTTTCCATTCCACTCTCCACCTCTGTCAATGAGACAGACTGGCAGCAGCTCCAAGTGACGTTCGATCAGTTCCAACCTCTTCATGCACGAGGCAATGGCGTGTTCGATCTCCATCGCTTGCGGGGTTGGAAGATTGAGATTTCACAGGCCAACAGCACTACCACCAGCACCAAGAGAAGTACACTGCTTGTAGACCATCTCGCCTGTGTGGGAGGACCCGCCATGATGGGTGCCGGGCTGACTTCGTTTCCAAGTTGGGAACAAGCCATTGACTCGGGTGCGTGGGACGAGATATGGTATCAATCCCCCATGGCCGAGAACCAGAGTCATGTGGCCCTCGACTACACGAATGGGGCCCTCTCTTTGGATTATACAGTGGAAATGGTCGAGTCCTGGGGTGGATTCCTCAGTCTCGACAACATGGCGGTTGGGCCCGCCTATTACAATCTTTCGCAAGCCAACACGTTGTCGTTGGGGTACAAAGTACGTCAACCTGCATCCGTCCCCGGTCGCACCCATTTACGCGTCATGCTGGCCGATGCCAGTGATGTGCATGTCTGTGCCCACACACATCACTGCAACGACCAAACGGAAGATTGGGAATGGTGGTACTCGTTTCATTACGTTCTGGACGAAGTCGCAGATGCCTTTGGGGAGATTCACATGCCCCTCCGGGGCGGGACCAACTCGTCGGCGCCCTTTTGGTTGACCGGATGGTCCGGTGGAATTGGGAATCGACAATTCGACAAGGAATACATTAAAGGATTTAATATTGAGATTAGTATGGATTCGCAAGGGGAGTTGGGGTCGACCGTCAATGGATCCATTGATCTCTATAACCTGACGGCGTACCATCAGGACCAATCGACTGCTCAGCAACAACAGCAAATGGCAGTCCGAGAAACAGACATTTCATTTCATTATACCTCCCAATTCCAAAAGAAAGAGTTTCAGAGCAGTCAATGCGAAGCAACATGTGCTGCCGATCCGGATTGTCGCTACGGATTCTTCATGGGCGCACAATGCTACATGGCCAGCTATTTGGAAGCGACCGACATTGGTATCCCCAACACGCTCACGTTGCAACAAGATCTGACGACTTTTTGGATCGACGATGCCACCAAGCGGGGAGACTTTTGCGACCTGTGCGATTGCCAACCATTCAATCGCACCATTGACTGTCGTGATCGCAATCTCGTGATTCTTCCCAAAACATTTCAAGAAGAATGGACTCCGCTCTCGCTCGATTTACGCAACAATTCGAACCTCGTATTCATCGGAAAGGGATCTTTGGAAGCGGTTGCTTCGTCGTTGCAAGAGATTTGGCTTCCCGCAGAAATGAGGCACATTTCATACCAGGCATTGCAGCAACTTCCCCAGCTCACGGCCATTCACACGCAAGCTGATCAGCTGGCCACGGCAATCAGCAGCGATGAGCAAGGCAAGGGAGCAGCAGCTTTTGGCGACATTTGCTGCTCGGTAGGAGAGCACTTGCCGCTGGCAGAGCCATCGGGAGGACTCTCCTTTTGTAACATGAAGGTGAAACATCCGGGGGATGATGCCACATACTATCCCTTTGTCGAGTTTCCCGATGGAGCCGTACAGTCCGAAGTGCGACCAAGTTCCCCATTCATGGCAGAAGCAGCCGAGAGTCCCGAGAAATGTGCCGAGTATTGTGCCATTTCCAAAGAATGCAACTTTTTTGGCTTTGACGGTCGGTTCAAAAACGCAGAACTCCTTTGTTACCTCTTTGAAACCATGGGCAGTGGCCCCCAGAAAATCTGTTGTGAAGAAGACCATTTCGGGGATGAAGACGGGACGATTCCTGGTTGGACATCAGGGTTACCGCCGAGAACTCGCCACACAATGGACAATGCCAAGGTCCTGATTGAGCCACAAGCCATTTCGATCGAGACGTCTTATGAAGGGTATGGGGAAGCTTCCTTTGACCTGCAGTTGGGATCCAGACCACATCGAGGTGCTGTTTGGATAGAGCCACAACTTGCCTCGTCCACACCCATGGAGGTGACTTTTGATCCTCCACGAGTCGTGTTGTACGATGCCAACAGCACCGTCAGAGTGAAAGTGACTGTAGCCGCGGCTGACATGTTGGGTACTGGGTCGACGTCGTTCGTGGTTCAAAACAAGATCTCATCCTGCGACAGCGCCTTTGTGGAATACGCGGACGACAGCACAGCAACCCGCGAGACAACAATATTTGTTGACATTGTGATACCTGTGCTAGTAGAGCGGGGTATGGACCCGGGGGTTGTCGCGGCAATCGTCATCGGTGTAATCCTGTCGTTATGCTTGTTCGGCAGCGTATTGCTTGGACAGAGACGGAAACATCAGGATGCTATTTGGACAATTAACAAAGACGAGCTTCTATTCCCCGACAAGCC